GTCAAAATTACCATCAAACGGTTAATAAATTACGCCATTATCAAATTACTCTTAAAAAAACTCTTTCAATTAATGAATAAACTTTATTTTTTTATACTCCAATCATTATATGTCACATTTAATCCGTAACCTTAATTGATGGTTTTCAATCATTCCCAAGAGAATAGATGATTTACGTTACGGTAACATGTTACACAAGGACGAAAAAAGGACCTCTGCGCGCATGGTACACAAGGACACAACAACCAAAACAATTGTAATAACCAACATCTAACAGTCATGGAGATACGTCCCTAAGAACGTCTGCTTGTCAGATAGGAGGCCTCAGTGGAAATTYGTCTTCAGGACTGGAAGGTATTGTATACAAACATTCCAAAGCCGATGKGCAATTTTTTCCAATGAAGTGCTTTATTACTCAACAGAGCACGAGAAAAAGCTGTTTGAATCTTTTATTATTTCCAAAGAGATCTGTTGTTGTTTTCGATTCTGTTTTCCTTCGATATTTTGCAAAGTTTTGCTGCGCGTGCGCGGATGGCGTCAAATACCGTGGTCTGTTTAGTACTCTAATGCAATACTGTTTTCGACCAATAAGGGCGTGCGTATTATCTAAGTTTTTCTTTTCGCGAGCTTAGTTCACTTCCTACATGCTTTATTACTAAACAGAACACGGAAACTAATCTGTTTTATTCGTTAAATAGTATTATTAGCTATATGTTTTAAAATTCATCCATCACGGACAGGGTAACCACTTTAAATGAATATATATTTTRAAAATAAAATAGGTCCTTTGCATTACAGCGTCATTGACTACCRCTACGTCCAGAAACCCCACACACTTTCTTTTGTTCAGTTAATTAGCACTAATCGTTTTACTTTTCTCATGAGAAAATGCAAATTTGAAAAAAGAAAAAAAAACCGCAAAGCATTTTGGTAGCGGTATTAAAATGACGCCATCACGCCAACGGCCTATTCTGTTTTAAATGTTTATCCCCTACATTTACAGTTTTTTAAAGGGTCCGTTTAAAACATAAAGGTTAATTATTAACTGGTATTTCGTGATATAAGAAGGATTGAAACAGTTTTCTTTGAAAGTGCGTGCGCATTAGGGTGGGCTAAAGTCTATAGCTCGTGTTTTTCAGTTTGCTTTTCTAGTGTTTTACATGCAGCTCCCACAAGCGTGTTTATATCACAGCACAGAGATTGACATACGCGCACCCGCGTTTCATATTCCTTAGACATAAAGTTTATTACTATTATATCATAATCATATTATTTTTGGTTTTATCSTCCTCCACCCCTTCCTCCTCCTCCTCCTCCTCCTCTTCCTCCTCCTCCTCTTCCTCCTCCTCCTCTTCCTCCTCCTCCTCTTCCTCCTCCTCCTCTTCCTCCTCCTCCTCCTCCTCCTCGACAGTTGCGATTGAGGTTTTTGTCTCCCAACATACGAAGGCAGGGCTTATGTAATAACGGACCTGCAATACAAATTTATAAGTCAGTATTTAATTTTTGAGTTGCAAAGCCTTATTTTGCAATAATTCCAGTCTGATTGAGTAATGGTTTTGAAAAACATTGTAAAAGGAAAAATTAATTTAGATAAAAGTATTAGACGTTTCGGCGACCTCATGTCGTCATTCTCAACAAAATTTATTATCGATTACTCAGCTTTGAGTAATGCACAATAATTATTGAGAATCACGAAGTGAGATTGTTGAAACGTCCAATACTTTTGTGTCTCTTTTTTCAGTTTATTCTTCTCAATTATCTAGTGACAAGAAGACGATGGCTAACCTGAAGTATACAATAGTTTGGTTGGTTTTTCTATTGGCGCATTTGGACCTTGAACTTGTCCAGTGTTGTTCGCTTGCCCAACCCACTCCAACGCCTCCAGTCGCCAGTGGTAGGCGTGGTAATTGCCCAACCYTCCCTCCTCCTGATTATTGTGAAGCAGTACCAGACAATGATTGTTATAACGACCTGGACTGCATGACAGGACTCAAATGCTGTTTAGATGGATGCGCTTTACTTTGCATGAAAGCGATAATGTGAAAATGTTACAATGACTATTTATAATTTTCCAATGTTGRACTGATGTAATTTGTAATTGCCCAATAGAAACATATTAGGTTCTGGATGGAGAGCTCATGCAAGTTTTCACTTAAAATTACGCAGATTTGTCAGTTGTCATTAAAATCTGGGTTTAATAATTAATATGGTGCGATTTAAGGACTAAAAGGGTTTATTCTTTAAAATAATCTATATTGTTTAATGATTATTGACTCGTATACTACAATCAATGCCAAGACCTCTCCATGTAGGAAAGCCCATGACATAAAAAGTACATCCTGTACTTGAAGTCCTTCTTTTCCTTCCTAAGTCGAGTTTATTTTTTTGTTTAACTTGGTTGCGCGCGGAAAGAAGTTTATGACTTCACAGGAAAACTTCAGGGAAGGCGCGTCCCCAGTCGTTCTAGGTTACATTCCTCGACTGACTCTTGATCGACTAACTTTTTACAGGATTTGCCGCTCAAAAGTAAAAAAATGACCACAGGTAACCCAGGCTCTCTACTTTTATAAGAAAATGTATGTAGTAAAAATGTTTATGGGTACTCCCCTTAGTCAAGAATTTGAATGCCCCTTTGTTGCTTGGAATTCGTCCAATCAGCTTCGAGATTATATAACGTATTAATCAGGCGTTAGGGTACAAATTATGATCAAAAACAAGTCATCCACCCAGGCTGACTTGAATGAAACTGAAAGGTAAAAATAAAATCGGGAAAAAAATCTTCAATTATTTTTTATTCGAGATGAAGATGATTCGTTTTTTGTTTTTGCCCGAGTATACTCTCCCACTTAGGAATTTTGTACACAACTCACCACCACCCCCAGGGGCTAGTTCTGATCTTCGAAGATTCTTCGACAAAGTTTTCCAAGGCCGACAGTTTTAGGCTTTGAATCTCTTTTACTTAAAAAAAACGAAAGATAACTACAGATAATCCAATACAATATCAAGTTTAGTGAAATTTACCTCGGATGCTATGTCATCGGTACTTATTCTTGTTTCCGMTAAACTCCTTTTATTCGCGTCTAATCTTAATTTTTTGAAGTATTTCTAAGATGCCGTAACAACTAGTTCCGCTATGAAGAGTTATTCGGATTGTTTATAGTTTGTTGGCAACGAATAAACTATAAGATGCCGTATTCGAGTAYGAGTTTACTGTTACTAGATCTATGAATCACTCGAAYCATCAGTGTTATTCGGATTGTTTACAGTTTGTTGGCAACGAATAAACTATRAGATGCCGTATTCGAGTATGATACGGTGGATCATAACTGTCACGACAAATCACGCGRCACTACACAAAATATTCACGGCAAAATCACCAATTGTCACGGCACTACACAATATTTCACGGCAAAATAACCAGTCTTTGCGGCACTACAAGCTTTGTGTTTTCCGACAACACTTTGATTGGCGTCCACCAAAACTCTATTATATCTCTAAATTTATTTTCACGATTTCACGCTTGTAATCGAGAAGCGCTGTAAGTGGACCGAGAATAAAAGATCAAACTGTAATGTTCCAGTTTATGCCGTGCTGATGGATATATGACTCGTATATCACAATCAATGCCAAGACCTCAAGTGGGAATCCATGATATAGCACATCCTGTATGCTCTCATGAATTAAACCACACTCGGTAAAGTCAGTAAACGTTTTTCTCTTTACTATTTGCTTTAACTATCAGTTTTTTGAAGAGACTAAATTAGGGTACAGCTAGTTCAAACATATACAATCATATGATAACAAAACGATTCTCACTAGTCATTATGTGGCGATGTTCAATAGACTTTTGCCAAGATACGGTCCGATATACATGTAATAACCCAAGCCTCTATTTGGATACATGTTGTTGGGGATATAAGTCACGTGACTATCTCACACTGTTCATGAACGTGGACGTCGAGTATGATTGAAGTGTCTAAATCGTCTGATTTATCAGCACCTTGTTGCCTTTGATTGTTCTATCGTCCAATAAGTAAGAAGCTGCAGGTTAGCAAGTAAGATCAGTTTACTGAGCACTAGACCATATCATATCTTCTTMAGGTCTATTGAAAGGCAGGAATTTCA